TTTTTTCCTTCTGATGTTGCTCTCAATGAAATCGAGTTAAATACAGTTACATGGTAGGTAGGAGCACCATATAACTCCTTTAGCCAAATATCATTATTTCTTAGAAAAAGAAATCCAAGTCCGGTTGTTGGATCATCACGAATATAATTTCTACTCTCCGAAGAATAAACACCCTCATTCCGTATGAGGCAATTCAGGATCCCATATTTGGACGTTTATCTTTGGACAGAGGAAGGGCTTTTGAGGGACTGTTTCACTGTCTAAAAGGAATTTAGTTTACAAGACCAGCAATCTATTTAGCTAGCCCGGTTAAAAATAGTAAGTTTATTAGACTTATAATAGCCCAGACTTTAAAATAATTCCAATTTACAAGCAGGTTTAGATTTTTGACGCAATTCATAAAATTAAGTAGGCAATTGAGGTTAAACAATAAAAACTTCGGTAAGATATTTTTTTTCCTGTGGTGGAATTTTTCTAGTTTTTTAAAAAATATATTTTTTTTGTGAGTATCCGTTTTCATGGTTGATAAAGTGGTAAAAAAAAGTAGAAAATGACAGTTCAATTCAGTCACGTTTTGTAAAAGATATCAATTTGTGGGCACCCCTGTTGTTGGTCGGTATAAATCTGTTGCCATGCCTGCAGACGATGAATGTAAGAATCTTAGATAAACATGCGCTCGTAAGAAATGTTGCAGTTTTAACCTCTTTACCGAAATATTGACACAATTTATCTGTGAATGTAAAACAATCACTGATTGCTTTTATAAGATTTTGTACACTTTGCAAACTGTCAATATTACACACATGATGAATAAGCAATATTAACGCTTTCATCGAGAAAAAAAAATCTAAAAAATAATGCGAAATGAAATTGCATGTTTAAAACTCAGAATTAAAATGTTTAAAATTCTGTCACAAGTTTTAAGCAAAATATGAATAAAATGTAACGTGTTAAATGAAATCCCTGGCTCAAATTTTATCACCTATCTATAGCACATGAGTACCATGATCCGAAGACTACTATTTAATTAGTTATTTTTCATGGTTAAATACGTAATATTTATATGCACCTTCTTTGATATATGTTTTAATAGACAAATATGAGTACAGTGGTGTTTTGTAATTATATGATGTATAAAATAGCACTAAAATAGGGAAGTACTTGAAATAATTACTAAATATACTTGTGTAAAGCAAGTGGCTGTTCATGGAGGGTTCATTTAAGGTACTCATTTCTACTGAAACTTCCAATTTCTAAATGAACTACATGCATAATTTGTTAGAAATAGGAAAGACATGTGTGGAAAGTTTGCCTTTCCATCATCCTCTTTATTAACAGTTGTTAGCCTTTTGATATGTATACCTAAATCAGAAAATCAACTGATCTATAAATCTGATAACGTAAACTGTGAATTTGGTGAAAGAATTATGAAAATGGAGGAAGAAATAATTCGACTACAACAGGGGAATGAACGTAAGTACATTTAGAAATATGTTGAATATTTTTGAAATCTTTAAACATGTACACATGCAGTTGTCAATGATAAAGTCTTTCTAATTTTGCCTATATCTTTTTTGTAGGTTGTCAGTCATATATATACCAGAGATGAAGGAAGAAATTTTTCGACTTCGACAGAGAAATGAACGTAAGTATAAGTGTTGAATATTCTAAAAGAAAGGTTAAAGTCTTGATGATTTTCTCTTGTACTCGATGTATTTGTAGGTAAGTTTATGATTTTTTAATTAGAGTTTTACTGTATTTCATTTTTCTTCTCTTAAAAAGTATGATATTTTGCCTATTCTAGTATCTTACAAAATCCATTGGTAAAAAGAATGTTGAATATTTTGTTTAAAATTCGACCTACAATAAGCATAGCTGTGATTAAATGAAAATCATTATCTTAATTAAGTTATTGGAAGAGAATGCACTATTTTTGAAAAATGACGTTGGATAAAATATTTGAATATAATTACATTGATTAAATTGGGGTAGTTCCTCGAGATTAAACCAGGTTGAATAGTTAAGTCAGTTGACTTTATGAGCCAGTTGTAATAAGATGCTAGTTGTATACTTTGTTGTTATGTGTAGCATGTGATAGACGCATGTGCATAGTTCCCCATCCCGGTTAGCTCTTTTCATGCCTTCTGTTATATGAGTTTACCTGCCAATATATGTTCGGATATTAGCGATTGATGTGGGTTAGCTGCCACCACACTGCATTGGATTGAGGCATTTAATTGCTATAAGGAAAAGGATCTGCGCATGTGGTGTTGGCTACAATAAGTTCATTTTGGTCTAAATTTAAGCGAATTGCAAACCCATTAACCAAACTTTGCCTACGTACACATCTTTTTTGATCTGTAAAAAAGCAATGTAGAAAAAAAATGGAATTGCCTGAGGCTAGTGGTCTGCTGTTGGGGCTAGGTCTCGAGATCGGCCCCACTTTTGACGAGATATTGCATCGGCTATGACATTATGTTTACCTGGTATGTGTTGAGCCTTAAATTATATATAGTTTTGTTTGTGTAACAAGCATAAGTGATTGAGGGACATAACTCTCTCAGATGATGCAGATTGTTTATTAAAAATGTGAACCCATAGCTCAGTTATCAATATGCAAGAATATCTTTTGTTCTGTAGTGTTTCTGTCAAAATAGTGAAGGCCAGAATGATTGGTATTAATTCTAAAAATGCAATGTCTTTAAGAATTGGCGTTCCTGCCCAACATTTTGGCCACTGAAGATAGGCCTACTGTCCCTTGAAATAGTAGCCACATCCAAGTGAAGCAGCCCCCGAGGTGTCGGTGAAACGCTGTAGAGTTTCACTCAGTATCTAGGAAGTATATAACCCCATCGAAGTTTAAGCCACATTTACCCGTCTAGTTTCATAGCTTTCATAATGTTCACATAATGATAAGGTTTGTAATTGCCTAGCATAGAATTATACAACCCCCTTAAACGCACTATTACCCAGAATGTTCTTGGCAAAGAAATTTTGTTTACCCACTATGCTCTGGAGGGCTTTTTGTTGTTGATATATTGCTCTAAAATATGAGAGATTTCTACAATTTTAGCCTGAGAATAGAATTTGCTATTTTATTGTGTCTACTTCTAACCCAAGTACACTATATAAGCAAGTAGTAGGCCCCTGCGCTTTATCAGGGTTTAGGGGAATACCCATTTCAGCACACAAACTTTGAATTTTTTTTTACCAAGATTGTGCAGTTAGTGCCTGCCCTTCCTGCAAAAATAAAGTCGTCCAAATAGTGATGTACTGTATTTAATCCTGCTTGTATTCTAACCAACCGTTCCAAAAATGTAGGGAATGTTTTAAAAATTTTGCATGATGTGGAACAGCCACATGGCTTTTTGTCCCTAGGGTCTATGTATGGATTAATACTAGATAGTGGTGGGTAGGACAAGAGCGTGATCATTGACCAACCACAACACTTGCTTATATAAAGGTTAGTTGCACGTTTGTGGGTCTGAAAATGGACCCCCCCCCCCCCCATGCGACTCTCATCTACCTTTTTCTTTATTTTAGCCTGCAAAATATCCCCGTGCTGATTTGTGATACCAAGTTATTCGAAAAATTAGGAGTTGTTGGCTCTGCATATAGCAACTTAAAACCCCGTTGAAACCATATTCCAAAACTATAGCTGACTGCTTGTCTGGGTAGTGTTGAAGATACTACTAGACCCTCTGAGTTATAATTGGTATGCTTTCCAGGGACAAAAGGTGTTCAAATGGCTGATATGCATTCTCGTGCAGTACTGTTGTCGTTATGCAAGTGTTAGATGGATGTACATTGTTACATTTCATGCATCTGAAAATGTATGGGCAATATAATCCTATAACATGAGCCTTGGTTATTAAAAAAACATTTCTAACTTTGGAAGGTCATTTTTCTGTGGCAGCAATATACCTTCATCAGCTGCATACGGGGTATATATCTCTCAACCGATTCGATACGCAAGAGCATGCTCTACGTATGTACAATTTCTACAACGAGGTAAATTATTGACAAACAAGTTGATGAAACTAGAATATCAGCTGTCTCGTTTAAGGTCATCATTTTGTTAGTTCTATGGTCGATACAATGACCTTGTCAGCAAATACAATTTATTATTGAGTCAAATTCTGACTGACGTTTTTCATACTAATTGTTAGGCCATTATTTACACACTGAATTGTCGACGAATGTTTCCGGTATTTACCGATCATGACAAGGAGCACAGGGCAGGTGTGACCGGTCGGCAGGGGATGCTCACTCCTCCATGGCACCTGATCCCACCTCTTATGTTTTGGAGGTTCGTGTTTGCTCTGCTCCTATTTTGTATTGTTTAATGGACTTTTGAGCTTGAATACTGTTCGTTATCTCCATATATTTCATTTCATAAAAACTACTAACAACATAAGTAAATATGGCGAACGGCATAATGTTAAAAATTATACCAGTTAACATTCAATCCAATGAAAATATGCGCAATCGAAGTAAATATTTAACTAATAATGTCTAAACATGGTCTAAATGCGGAGACATTGTCAGGATTATTTTTTTTTTAAATAGCGACACAACATGGAAAATTTTGTATCACATGAATCAACCTAGCAACGTGTTCGTCTGCTAGATTAGAAAGAGGAAATTACGTTTTGGACCTGGGTACAGTGTTTATATAGTCACCGTGGCGTATGTAATAAAAGAATCTAGCTGGTATGCGTAATCCAGATTATTAAGCAAGGAACATACGCAATATAAAAAAATGGACATATATCATTGAGATAAAATCCCATATTCCTAGACGTTACCTGAATTTGGGCTATTATTTCATGATATTCAGTTCATCCGAACCCGACCTTTTTTTCCATATTTACAACACTCCCGCCACAGCAGTTCTTATGTATCTCACAGGCTCTAAACTGATTATTATAATTCATTTAAAACATAAAACAGCATAAATAAGAATTTAACCAGAAAATTAACATCTTTTATTATGCACCAATCATATATTTTAAAGTTTTTTTTACTACAAACTTCGTTGTCAAACAAAGAAAAAGCCCGATCTCAACGTCAAATGATAGTTATGATAGTATGACACGGGCTTATTTTATTGCACTTGTCTCCTTTTTTCCAAATAAAATGATATGGAAACATCCAAGAAGATGGAATGGCCTCCAATTGTTCTCTGAACGGTTAGTTTATTAGTTTCAATACAGCTTGCAAAAAAATAGGAAAATTGTTATTTGGCAAAAAATAAATAAATGAAATAAATATAGTAAAAAATAAATTAAAAAAAATACAGTTCGGCAAGCTTATGGATTTTGCTGAAAGGGTCCGTAGAAAACTTTTTTAGGTTTCATACAAAAGGAAACCAGAGAAATAGTTGGGATCATATCTGATATATGTTTTCTCCAAGTTATACCAATGAGGATGTGTTTGGATCCACATACAATCATCTTTCTTTGCATTGATGATCAGCATGTTACTTCCAGTGCTGTAATCCGACATTTTACCCGCCATAGCTTCCAAATACGGATTTCCATTCCATGTGAAATGAACAGCCATGCGTTTTCCAGGTTCTACTTGTATACCGAAGAAAAATGCGTAAATCCCTCCCACTGGTACTTTAAAAACTCCGGAGCTTTCATTGTAACCCCCTCCAATGTTAAGTTGGACTTTGTTGTACACGATGGTCTCTATTGACTTCTTGATAACTTGTGTTGTACCTTTTTGATGAAAAGCAGAGAAAGCTGCTTTTTGTTTCCCTGGAAAGAATGTTTGATGCTTATGCTTTGTAGAAATGATTAAATATTTCAAAGAATGTATGTAAAAAAACATAATGAAGAACCTTAAACGGTTAAAGTTTATTTTGGGACCCTTAATGAAAATGGTGAAGACACAAACAAAGATCGATCTAAAAAAATACAAACAAATAATTATAAATCTGCGAACAGGGCATGAAACACAGACCCCCGGAAATTCCAGAGGTGGGATCAGGTGCCTAGAGGAATAAGCATCCCCTGTTGACCGGCAACATTCACCATGAACCCTATGTATTGATCACGTAGATGGAACATTTCATAGTCAAATTAAGTTTAAAAAAGTCCTAACAATTAGTATGAAAAACGTCAACCAAATTACAACTCAATGATACGTAATATTTGTTAAACAAAATTATTATAACGACTATAGAATTTTCGACATGCTGACATTAACCGAGGTTATTGAAATTCCTGTAACATCAATCATCTGTCAGTAGCCCGCCTAGGTTTAAAAATTGATCGTATTCAGAGAATTCTCTTGAGTATTGAATATGCAGGTGATAGCAGAATGTTACTACATACCTAAGGATACTAGTAGTTAACGATGGAAAAGATGATGTCGTCTGGTCACTGTACCTTCGGAGGGCTTGTTTTGTATGCTAGCGTTTAACATTTTCATTATGCTATGCCAATATATATTGATTTTATAACAATAAAGGAACTTTAAAATATGATGAAATATTTCATGTTATATGTAAATTATACTCACATTGATTTTCTTTGGTTAGACGAACCACTTGCCTTTGTAATCTCAATATTTCACTTTCTAGATTCTTCATCTTCCTCTCAAAATCATTATTTTCTTCTTGGAACTTGTACAAAAGCTGGTTTTTTGTGTTGGGAATTGTTATAAATATGACGTAGACAAATAAACACGAATAGGAAACCTTATTCAACATGACTACTTATTCGAAAGATGAGTTTTGTCAAAAATAAACTTCTTTTTATAAGTAACTCGTGTCATGTGATCATGAACGTATTACTTATCATGCCAACTTGTTTCAATTTTACTGTTTATCATTATAATTTCATGTGAATGATCCTAAAAATAAGAAAGAAGAATTTTTAAATATTTATAGATATATTAAAACGATCTGAACACAGTCTCTTAATACATCTAAATCACAATTGCGTTCCATGTAATAAAAAAAAAGTACTATGTAAAATGCAGATTTGAATTCTTTTTTTTTTTTAGATCGATCACTGTTTATTATCTTCAACCCCCCCCCCCCCCATTATTATAACGTACAAGTTTTTGTGCTTAGGGCATACGAATAACCGTATTTAACTGCACTTCAAGAGTTCAAATGTTTTTTTTTTTCAATGTTATATTCGTATTTAAATCCATGTGACAAGTCATTTCAATAAAATGTTTTTCAGACTAATATGTCACTGTATTCACTTAATCTGTAACCAAGAATATTTAAAAGAATATCAGATCTTTTTGGTCAAAAAGGAATCAGTTTCTACTTCTCCATCTTACTTGAAAATATCAAAGAACAATTATTAAAAACAGAAATCAGGTAAAAATATCAACATTAAATGTACTTTTTTTAATCACATGGAACGCAATTGTGATTTAGATGTATTATATTTATTGTACGAACACTTATCATTCTCAGAAGACCAGTTAAAAAACATAAAGTATCAGCAGAGCCAACATGGACCTCTGAAAATACGTGGAATCAGGTGCCATAGAAAAGTAAACACCACCCTGTCGACCGGTAACGCCTACCTTGTGCTCCTTGTCATGATCTGGTATACAGAACAATCCGGAGACAATGTGACAGTGTGAAGATAATGGCCTAACAATTTTTATGACAGACGTCAGTCAACATAAACCTTAACGATGGCCTGTATTTGCAAACAAGGTAATTGTTTCAATTATTTATTAAAGCATGCAAAATCTCATAAAATTGGTAAAATCTTATGATTACCGCTTTCATTATTTATATGGTGAGTATTTTATTGTAGAAATTATTTACAATAAATATAATATCGAGATTTCGAAAATCAAACAAAACAGTCAAAATACAAACAAAATGGAAAAAGCTAAACAAAAACAATGACTTCACATTAATTACTGTAAATCACCAATTATTTGCGACATCTTTTTCTTCCAGAGCTAGTTATTTGGTATTTATAAGCGAGACAAAATTTTCACAAATTTTGTTAAACTGTTATAAATAATCTTTAAGAGCACAAATATACACCAGAATATTTTTTACGAGCAGATGGTCTTAATAAAGTTCTCACTCGTAAAATTGATTCATAGTACATACATTGTATACGCATTTTTTGTTTTCGACACTTCCACCATCATTTTTGCTTCAACTGTTAGCATATATATAAATTATAGTACATTTTGAAACTTTATTTCCCGATCACTTATTTCATGTATGATAAGCTATGATTTTTCGTTAGAAATTTATCATTTATTTCATACACGTACATCGAGATATCATATATCAGTGAAAAAGATTTCATAAATATATTGAAATATCGTTATACCCGACAACACTAGGCTGACTTATCCTTTGTTGAATCTTGTTCTAAATTTAGTTCATTCTCGAATTTATTCCTCTAAATGGTGTTTTGTTCATGCTCAAGCGTTGTTCTGATTCCATTCATGGCTAAAGTTCTCCATGTCTCCTATCTTCATTTTTATTATACTTAATTTAACATTTACTATGAGGTCTGATGGTGTAAATAATTTTAGGTTTTAACTGCAAATAAATGTGTTTATATCCTTGATAGAAATATACTCCGTGAAACAAAGAAACAGATGAAAAACATGGAGACAATTAATTAGAAATCTGTTTTAAGTTTCATTGTCATTGCTACCAATAAAGAGTACGAAAAAGGTGAAGATAAGGAACAGTGAGATCTCTCAAAAAATATACAAACAATACAAACCCGTGAATAGGACATAAAACACGAATCCCAAGAGGTGGATTCAGGTGGGGCAAGCATCCACTGTCGACTGGTCACCCTGCCGATGAACCCTATGTATTGATCAGGTAGACGGAATATCCCGTAGTCAAATTTAGTATAAAAACAAAGATCTAAGATGAAACATGTCAGCCGAAGAATGACCCAAAGAGCAAATATTTCTAACAAGGTTATTATAACGACTATAGAATTTACGTAATGCTGACTTTAAGCGAGGTTGTTAAAATCCCTGTTACATCAACTTATCCGTCAGTAGTATGTCTCGGTTTAAAAATTGAGCATGCTTTTAAGTATCGAATAAGTTGGGAGACCTCAGCTTCATATACAGGAGCAGAATAAACTACATAAATACGGAAATTTGGCGAAGGAAAAGCTGAAGTCATCTGGTTTGTCACCCATTTTAATTATTAGTTGGTCCTCATCGTCTATAGTCAATAAGACATCTAAATATACAACAAATTTGGCACACTCTGTGGTATATTTTATTTTGCTTCATTGTGATATATCAAGTTCACATATGAATGAGAGTAACTACTGTTAATTGATAACACGTCATCGATATATCTGTATGTGGAGGTGAAGGCCACAGCAACGCGGCTAGGATAAGGCTGTCCGATAAATATCACAGTGTACCAGCCGTTGTTACTTCTCTGAACTACCAAGATATGACGTCATAATAGAATATGACGTCAAATCACTGCAAACTTGAGCAGACATGACGGGGAAAGTGTCATAACTTTTACATTCCTTCCCATGGCATGTAGATTATATTTCGACGTTGATGTTTAAATCAGGTGTCTGAATTGTTGTTTAAAGTTTTTATGTGCTGTTATGATGGTGATTATTTGAAATACAATATTGTTATTCCTTTCTCTTTCTGATATTGTACGTATTCAATCAATAACTAAAAATGAATATGAAACACCCCCTCTTACACGTCCGTAGACAGAGTTAGAATTTATAAATCATGCATATATTACACTGGCACAAGTGATTAATAAAGATAAACTGAAGATGTTATATGTAAATCTACTAGAGAATTTTGCTGGGGATCTTATGTAATTTATCCTATTTTGTATAAATTGCGATGACGAGTGGAAAATGCCCCCTTGTATGTGGGTAAGTTGAATTTCTCGTGAAATATTTTCTTAAGAAGTAAAACTCAGACTTGCCCCCAGCACTTTATATATACCCAAGAATACGTTTAATTGATTTATGTAACAAACTGTTCTCAAAAATTTTGTTTTTCACTTGTGCCGACGGGATTTATTTGCAACAATTAGGAAATTTATAAGTGTCCATCACGTGATCAACACAGTCATGTGACATCACAAATATGCTTTTTCTCAATGCGTTATTAAACTCTCTTCACAAATTTACTACACATGCATACATTGATTACTAATTGAAATCAAAATCTAGCTCGAAATATAATAGCGTAATTCTAATGCATATTAAGCCTTCGGACAGCCTTAAAATAGCCGCGAAGTGTTTTCATCTTCTCGTGTAGAAGTTTTGAATAAATTCTGCTTCATAGTAATATAAACAGGTCGGCTAATGATGGAGCACAATTAATGTCCACCGAAATTCCAACAGTTTGTTGGAAGGCCTGGTGTCCGAAGACCTTATAAATGCTGTCAATGAGGAAATCCAGCATCCTTTAATTTCAACTTCAGAGTACTTTTGTTTAGAATCGGAGTGATTTTAACGAAGTAATTTTTTGATGACAAATAACAAGATACTCAGCTTTGTTAAGGAAGGAAACGGGAAATATGATCTCAGTACCTACCTTACATGTCTAAATGTATACATGTAGTGAAGATATGATAAATATTCATAATCAGTAAGGTTGTGCCGCACTCAGTACCAGCTACCATGCATGTATCAGCTGTGTGTCACGTGACTGTTATATAAAAAAATTAAAGAATTGTTAAGCTAAATGTAGTAAATTACGCTAGTACAAGGCATACACCCGTTTTTGGACCAAAAAAAAAATGATAAAATTAAAAAAGGATATTTCACCTCAAACAGTCTAGTCTATATGCCCTTGATCTTTTGAGGTTAATTAGGAATACATTTATCATGTTATCGATATTCTTCACATTCTTTGTCTCTATGCAGCTTCATAACACCTAGAAAAAATAATAATCTATATAATTGTTTAAATATACGATTTCCTTTTAGTTTTATTGCTTAGATCTAAAAATTGGCAGTGGTTTCATATTAAATACGCATTTTTGTAATTATCAAACCAATGGATCCACTCTTCCGGATCACTTGTACTGCGTCAAGTCAAGACTAGTAACGTCACTTATGACACAAGATTTGCATAATAGTGATATTTTGCATGTTTAATAAATAATTGATAAAATAAATGTATGCGAGTTGTTATTTAAGAAATAGGTTATCATTTTAAAACTTTTATCGGGATGTAAATGCGGGTTGGCATGTGATCAAATCTACAAAAAGCCCGAAAAAGCCCGAAGGGCTTTATGGGATTTGATCAAACGACCAATGTAGTTTAAAAATGATACCTTATTTATTATATTTACATTTGGCACTAAATTACAACGTATATTATGCACTTAAGTTTTAAATCCATAAAATGTTTTTATTTTTTCAATCCTCAACAGTATAAATTGAATGTGTTGAACTCGGCTACACTGATGACGTCACTGTGAAATTACGTCAATCATTAATGACTGAACAATGAGTTCAAGGACACGTGACGAACCAGTTTTTACAATGAATTCAAAACGCTTTGCTTAGATAGTTTTATATAATGGAAAACATTTGCAAATGTAAATATTTACGGATCAATATGAAGTAAAATTGATTTTTGTCACTTGTCAATTTTTCTATGAGGTCACAATGATATGTACCATCCGGTGCATCACAAATGT